ACCGCCGCATGCTGTGGAAAAACCCAAATCATCCCAAAAATTCCAAAAAACTCTCCAAGCCCAGATCTACCAACCTAAGCCCTCCCTTAGGGCTAAAAATGCGAAAACAGCCCCTAAATCCAAAGAAAAGGCCCCGACTCTTTGGTTCCCCTCCAAACTCTAGTGACACGTACAACTCGGGTAAGATTACGATCTAGTCTTTTATTTTTTGTGTTATTTTCATGTAAAAAGTTAGTTTTTGGTTGATGTCGTTTGAAATAAAAAAACCTATTTTGGTTGTTGCTTGCTTATTTGAAAAAAAAAGTTGCTATTCGAGATCTAGAAAAGAACTCGAAACTAAGAATATATATATATATACTATTATTCGAAGTAAAAAAGAAAGAAAGAAAGTAATAAACCTTGAAACTTACTGTTTATTGCTTTTGGATATCTAAAAAACCGAGAGTTTACACTGTTTGTTTTCTGGATGTCTCACCAGACTTTACATGACTTTTCATTCGGGTCTTATACCTGTTTTACAGAGAATTAGAATAATTGTTTTTTTTCTCTTCTCCCTTGTTTTCCTGCAGGTTGCGTGTCTACTTAGTGGCTTCGTTGGCATTGGAGCAGAGAGGGGTGGCCCTCGGTGGGGGAAGTGGATGGTGGCCACTGATTGGGTGTTTGGGTGGCTATCGGTCAGGTTTGATTTGTTTAGGCTATGGGTCAGGTTTTAGATTTAGGTTGGATCGGGTTTGTTTGGTTTTGGGTACAGTTGGGTTTGATTTGTTTGGGCTATGTAAAAATGGTGCAAACATAACCTATCTTACTTTTAAAATGATTAATAAAATTAACATACATACATTTTCAAAATACATTGAAAACTTAATTGAAAAAATGGATATGTTAATAAGTGAAAATCTCCATTAACTTATGAAATGAAAACTTTTAAAGCCAATAAAAAAATTCAGGGCATTTTTATTTATAAAATGGATGTAAATTTTCTCACAATTAACAAAAGAACAGGTATTAACGTGAGACTGTATTAAGAATGTTAAAAAAACATTATCAAGTAAATTAAGAAATTTAATATGTAAAGAGATTTTAATTATTAATTTTATTGGCCGGAGTTTAACAATTTTATTGACAATAAATTAGATACTTTTTAATTATAATTAAATCAATCAATAATTTACTATTATAAAATAAAGGATGATGTTGCCATGTTCGACGAGCACTGCTAATGATGAGCATTATTAAATTAATTTAAAAAATGTTAAATTATAAATAACTAAACTCATTATTATAAATTAGTTAAAAATCTAAATGTAATTTAATTAAAATATAATATTTATAAAACATTAGTTTTTAGGGCAAACTATACCATTGATGACCTAACTGTTTACCCCTTTTACTTTAACCACCGATTTTTCAATTTTATCAATCATGTCACCTAACTATTTAAATCTTGTCAATCAAGCCACCTGTGTTAAATATTAACGGAGGAGATGACATGACAGTTAATAAAATTTACACATTTAGTCCTCATTACTTACACATTCTATTAATTTGGTCCTAACTTTTATAACATCCAATCAAATGGTTTCACGTGTTACCAATGAATGAATGAAAAATAAATTAAATCAATAATTGTTGCTGGAGGGGTTTGAACCTAGAAACAAGCCATTAACCACTAAGTTGATCCACTAAATTTGTTTAGTATACATAATATAATTTATATAACTTATAATATAGTTAATGGTAATAAATGATCTTATTAAAACTCAAACATGAAATAATTGAATAATATGAAAATATGAAAAAATATATAAAAAATATTATAATTGATTAATAAATGAATATATTTTATTTATATTTTAAATCACATTTAATGAAAAAATTAAAATGAAAGTGAATTTAATATGTTATAATTGAAATGTATCATTTTACATATTTTAAATTAATAAATTGTCTTCATTATTCTAATTTTACTACACTAAAATGTATCATATCTTATATTTTAAAATATTATAACGATTGGATTGTAATCTTATTTAACAACTTTATATTAAAATAGACTAATTCAATAAAATCAAGTTTCCCCCAAAATTTTCTTCAAATATAATGCATAAATAATAAAATATAAAATTCTTACTCTAACCGGGATATAAACAAGTTAATGCATAAGTTAAAATACTTACTACGAGAAACCCTCAACTATCAAGAAAATTCTAAGTCAATGAAGCTCTTCGTCATATTTCAATTATAATATATTAAAATTATTTTTTTTTACTTTTCATTAAAATGATTTAAAATATAAATAAAATACATTCACATATTAATCAGTTATAATATTTGTGGGTATATATATATATATCATATTATTGTATTATTCAATTATTCCATGTTGGAGTTCTTATTAGGTCATTTTCCTTTTTTTATTACCATTAACTATATATATTATGTCGTGATAGATTTGTCATTTGAATGGTGCAACCTAGTAGTTGGGGAGTTTGCTTCTTCTCTTCATGTTTTGGGTTCAAACCCTAGTAGCAGCGGCTATTGATTAAATTTACTTTCTATCCATTCAACTGGTGACATGTGGCACCATTTGATTGGATGGAAATTTTAATAATTAAATATAAATATTAAGAAAAAAATCCAATCACATAGTGAAATGTCACCATATGATCGATGATTAAATTTATTGAATTAATTAAAGGTTATGACCAAATTAATAGAATGTGTAAGTTATGAGGACTAAATGTGTAATTATACAAATTTTATTAACTGTCACATCATCTCATCTGTCAATATTTAATGACAGTGGCTTGATTGACAAGATTCAAATAGTTAGGTTACTCGATTAAAAATTTTGAAAAACCGGTGGTTAAAGTAAAAAGGGTAAATAATTAGGTGATTAATGGTATAGTTTACCCTAAAAACTAATGTTTTTATAATATTTATTTTAATTAAATTACATTTAGATTTTTAACTAATTTATAATTATATGTTTAATACTTTATAATTTAATATTTTATAAATGATTTAATGGTGCTCATTGTTAACGTGCTCATCCACGCTTGACAATCATTATAGAATTTTTCTAAAATAAAATAATGATTCTCGTACAAGTAGTATCGTGGTTTCCACCAAGCAAGATTTTTCTTGACACCTAATTTATCAGGTATGAATTTGTTATTATTTTAATTTTGAACACTTATTATTATTATTATTATAGTGGTTGAATTTGGTGATAGAGTTTAGGGGTTAACTTAAAATTTTAAAAAATTTAGAGATTTAAATTAAAATTTTCAAAAATTTTGAAAGGTTCAGTTTTTATATATATATTTAAAAAATGGGGTATTACTAAATATTTTAAAATTTTAAGAGGTTTAATGAGAATTTTTAAAAATTATGAGATGAATTTAATTAAGAATATTCAAACAATTTTAAAATTTAATATATATTTCTAAAACTTTTGTGGGTCAAATTAAATATTTTAAAGGTCTAAGCTATAAATTTTTAAATTTTTAGGAGGGTCGTGACCCTCACTGATCTCCATTATCTTCTGCCACTAATTACTATTATTATTGTTATTATTATTATTATAAGACAAACCATTTTTGCACACCTAAACGATTATAACAATTATAATTTATAAAGTTGTAAGAGATTTTTATATATATAAATGGAGAGATGAAATATTAGTGATTTTCCCAAAAATCATCTTTTCATTATATATTTACCCATCACACACTTTTTTATATATATTTCTCAATCTAACACCCTTTACAGAAATGTGCGGCTCATGCATCACGACTTACACTGATGTGGCGCCATGTGGGGCAAGGTGCAGCCCATACATTGTGCCTTTTGTTATGTGTAAAGACTGGGATGCTAGTTTTGTAAATGTTGTAAAAATGGTGCCTAATATGTAATTAATATCTATTAGGGTGATTTTATGTAAAAAGTCAACTTTTTTTATTTATTTTTATGTGTGGAAAAAAAACTTTCTACATTAAAATCATTAAATCTTCTTTTGTAAATTATTTTATAACTCGAAAAATTTTGATTGTTGCATGAAAAATTTATTGATTTTTAAAATTAATTGTTTAAAAATATAAAAAAAATTAAAATAAACTTTTAATTACAATTAGGGATCAAATGAATTATTAGTCATTAATTATTATTTTGTTAACAACAATTAATAATGTTTATTCATTTTTAATAAAACTAGAATTTAATATTTTTATATTTTTTAAAATTAATATTAAAAATATTTTAAATATATAGGTGATATTTTTTAGCTTTACCTTCTTCTTTTTTTGTTGAATTTTATTCACTTTTAATTCTTTTTTATTGTATTTTTATTGAATTTTAAATATATGAGTTATAATTTGTTGGAATATAGCAGAAATGTTGAAGAAGAAACAAGAGAATGCTTTATTGATTGAATAACTTGAATTGAATTTACAGTATGCATCATTACGGTTTTATACAACAATACAACAAACTTCTATAACTGACTAACAAACTCATAACAACCTAGCTTCTAGAACTTCTCTATACTCAGATATGCATGAGCTATATGTGAGCCATACGTACACGCATGACACTATACACACATAATGCAAGCTGCGTCATTCATTCTCTCAACATTCTCCCTGCTTCTTCCCCTCTTCAGCAAACAAACAAACATTTAACTTCTCACAAAAACTAGCAAAGGCAGCTTTTGCTAAGGGTTTAGTCAAGCCATCAACAACTTGATGAGCTGCTTGAACATAGCTCACGCACAGTTGATTTGCAGCTATCTTCTCCCTAACAAAGTGCACATCTAAGTCTACATGTTTGGATTAGGAGTGGTACACTGAATTAACACTCAACGCAATCGCATTGGTGTTATCACACCATATTGTTGGTTGTTTTCATTTTGACACCTTCAAATCAGTGAGCAAAGCATCAATCCATGCTACTTCAGTTGTTGTATCTGCAAGGCTTATATATTCAGCTTCCATGGTTGATCATGACACCACCTTTTGTTTCTTTGCGCTCCATGTTACTAAACTTCCTCCAACAAAAACACAGTAACCAAACTTCGATCGTCTATCATCTACACAGCCACCCCAATCAGCATCCGAGAAAGCTGATATATGCAACTTGCCTGGAACAAACCCCAGACCATAGTCCAATGTCCCACCTAGATAACGCAGAATGTGTTTAGCAGCAAACATATGTTGCTCTCTTGGTGCGTGCATAAACTGGGCCACTTTGTTCACACTAAAGGCAATATCGGGTCTTGTGTGACACACATAGAGCAGCCCTCCTACTAGGCTTCGAAATTCTCGTGCATCAGCCATCAATACCCTTCATCATTCTTCAACTGTGAGGATGCAACCATAGGAGTAGAAGTACACGAGGCCTTAGTCATTTTTGTTTTCTCAAACAACTCTAGAATATACTGCTTTTGACTAAGAACCAACAACTGATCACATCTCTTACTTCAATGCGTAAAAAATAGTGTAGTTCCCCCAAATCTTTCAACGAAAAATTATCTTTTAACAACATGACCACCTTCTCTATTTCACTCGAAGACTGCCCAATTACTATGATGTCATAAGCATATACTAAAACATATGTTGACACTCCGTCTGCTGCCAGAACGAAAAGAGAAGCATCAGCTTTGGACTCCTTAAATCCAAGATGCAAGAGACTACTTTTCAGCTTCGCATGCCAATTCTGTGGTGCTTGGCGCAACCCATATAGTGACTTCTGCAGCTTGCACACCAACTTGATACCATCAGCTGTGAATTGTTCAAAGCCAGGCAGTTGTTGGATGAACATGTTCTCACTCAGCTCACCATGAAGAAATGTGTTATTGACATCAATTTTCCTTAGTGGCCATCCCCCAGAGACAGCAAGTGCCAGTATGATGTTCAACATAACAAATCGTACTACTGGGCTAAAGGTCTCCTTGAAGTCCTGCCCAGGCACTTAAGAATACCCCTTAGCAACCAACCTAGCCTTGTACCATTGAACCGTTCCATCGGAGTTGCGTTTTACCTTAAACAACCATTTGCAGCCAACAACAGACCATCCTTCAGGTAACTGAACAAGTGTCGAAGTGCCATTATTTCTAAGAGCAGCAAGCTCAGCATGTACTACTTCTTTCCACTCCTTGGATTGTAGGGCATCATTAATCGAACCAGTAAGCATCTCACTTAACGAATTAATAAAGATTTTGGGTTTAAAGATCCCACATTTGCTTCTAGTCAATATAGGATGTTGATTAACCGAGGCTATATTCTATTCAGTGAACGGTTGCACTCCATCATTTGCTAAAAATTCAGGTACTTCAGTGGATAATTATTCAGGTACTTCAGTGGATAATTGTGTAGACTTAGGATCACTTGACTCAACCTCATTGTTATCCATAGTTGAGTTAGCGCCATTTTGGGGGGGGTAGGGTCAATACCACCTTGAATACTGGAGTTAGCACCATCAGCATGTGCATGTGATGACTCATTAGAACGTGTGGATGAACCAGACAATGCTTCTATTCTCTCATGATAAGGAACAACCTACAAGGGAGCAGACCTCCATGCACTAGTATGAGGCACATACTCAGGTTGTTTCTTATCTACAAAAGGCAACACATGTTCATCAAATTTAACATGCCTTGAGATATAGACGCGACCATCCGAGAAGGCATGAAAGCCTTGATGTTGCGAGCTGTAACCCAAGAAAACACAAGGAGCTGATAACATTAATTTATGCTGTTGAAAAGGCCTCAAGTGCGGGAAACAACGACACCCAAACACACGCAATGTGGTGTAATCTGGTTTAGAACAAAACAACTTTTCAAAAGGTGAAATATTATCTAACACTCTGGTAGGCAGACAATTAATTAGATTTGCCGCTGTAGCCACATCATAAGACCATAATCAAAATGGGAGAGTAGCCTGAGCTAGCAACACTAGAGTCAATTCAACCAAGTGGCGGTGTTTGCGTTCAACCACGCCGTTTTGCTCAGAGGTGTGAGGGCATGTGACTCGATGTAAAATGCCTGCACGAGCTAGTTCACATGAAAACTGCATGTACTCGCCTCCCCAATCACTCTAAACATACTTGATGGACAAAGAAAACTGGGTGGTGACAATAGATTGAAATAGTCGAAATGCATCAAGTGCCTGAGTTTTATCCTTTAGCATGTACACCCATGTATGTCGTGTACATATATCCACAAATGATACGTAGTATCGATAGCCACAAGATGAAACATGTGCAACACCCCAAAAATTGGTAAAACAAGCTGAAATGGAACATTGTAAACAGTAGCAGAAGAAGTAAAAGGCAACTTGTGACTCTTTCCCACGCAACAAGTAACACAAGTGGTATTGAAACTCTTTGGAATGTTAACATTGATGGAATTACATACATCTTTCAATGTTTGAAAAGTAGGGTGTCCTAATCGCCTATGCTAAAGGTCAAATACACTAAGACCAACAACATTGGAATTATTACACAAGAAAATTTTAGGCTCAATAGCAAAAGTGTACAACCCTTCATGTTGATACTCTCGAATAACCACTGCACCAGTTGTTTTATCTCGAACAAAGCACTCATCAGCATAAAACTCAATGAAGACATTGTTATCCTTAGCAAGCTTCAAAACCGAGAGCAAATGTTTTGTTATTTTGTGTACATGTAATAGATCACTTAATATTAAAGCTCGAGAGAAAGCATTCAAAAAAGTTTTACCAATTGAGTTCACCCCTAGTTACACGCCATTACCTAGTACGAGATTACTTGGGCCAGTAAATTCAGTTGAATGCATCAACTTGGAGCCATCTGGGGTAACATGGTGAGTTGCCCCCGAATCAATAACCCAATGTTCACCTGATGCCACGTTTGCTTGGGGCTGGTTATAAGAGGACAGCTGCTTGGTATTGCAACACTAGCATCCTGACGAGTCAAATGTGGCACAATTAGTAGCATCAGAATCGTCTCTGGATCGTGATGAGCCATAAACCACATTAACCCCAGAGAAGTCTCGATCAAAGCGATACAAGCACCGATCTACAGAATGGTCATTCTTACCGCATACCTTGTACTGAAGCCGTGCACGACCTCGACCATGTCCACTGGATCGACCACTACGAGACAATTCAGACGAGCCGACTGCTACTCTTCCTTGAGCAACATGAGCACTCATTGTAAGGTTCTCAGGCTGAGCATCAAAACCAGCAATCTGCGTTTTCGCATCAACAAGCATCGAGTAAACCTGATCCAAAGACAAAGTTTCTTGTGTAGTAGTGATTACTACCATGAACGGCTGGTATTCACACGACAGTCCTTTAAGAATACTCACGATGTGTTCAACTTGAAACACTGAACTTCCACAAAATGCAAGCGAATCACAAATTTCTTTAACTCGAGTGAGGTAAACTCGTATATAATCATCACCTTTCTTCATAGACTGAAGCTTGTAGTGTAGGTTCATACCGTGGTGGTGGATTGATTGGCAAAACATTATAGAACTGTGTTCCAAACAGTAGTGGCTGACTCGACACTAACGAATTGTGGCAACAACGGAGTTGATCGTGGATAAGAGCCAGGACTCAAGGGCACTGTCTTGGGCTATAAAGTCTTCATAGGCTTCATTGGCAACAGTCTCGCCGTTGGCATCAACAACCGTCTACGGAGGAGCTGTTAAGGATCCATTCAACAACCTTTCAAGATGGTGGATGCGAATTGTAAGTAAAATCTGCTGCTTCCACAGAAGGAAGTTCATCTCATCAAGCACCACGTTTACCCATTTGTTGGTAAACATACGAGCTGATGAGGAGGATTAATCACCAAAGAGAGCCATCGCAGCTCAACAGAAAGCTCCAAGACCGAAGGAGAATGATACCATGTTGGAATATAGTAGAAATGTTAAAGAAGAAATAAGAGAATTATTTATTGATTGAATAGCTTGAATTGAATTTACAGTATGCATCATTACGGTTTTATACAGCAATACAACAACATCCTATAACTGACTAACAAACTCATAACAACCTAGCTTCTAGAACTTCTCTATACTCAGATATGCATGAGCTATACGTGAGCCATACATACACACATGACACTATATACACACACACTAGAAGCTGCATCATTCATTCTCTCAACATAATTCAAATTAATCATTTATTCTGCTATTATTCAAATTAATTAAGAAAAATTATGGTAAAATGTTTCTAAAAGAAAAATATAAATACATACATGAAAATCTAAAGATTTTCCTTTATTTTGTGTTACTCTCTAAACTAGTAAAATTCAATAAAAAAAAAGAATATAAAGCTAAAAAATATCACCTATATATTTAAAATATTCTTTCTAATATTAATTTTAAAAAATAAAAATAAATATTAAATTCTAATTTTATTAAAAATAAATAAACATTATTAACTATTGTTAAAAAATAATAATTAATGACTAATAATTCATTTGATCCCTCAATTGTAATTAAAAGTTTATTTTAATATTTTTATATTTTTAAATAATTAATTTTAAAAGTCAATAAATTTTTCAAAAATATATGAAATTTATAATTTTTTAAATTATAAAATATTTCTTATCATCATCATCATCATTTTGTAAAATAAATACTAGTTATAAAACTTTTATAAAATTATTCATATTTTAAATTACTTACCCTCAAAGTTTTCCTATACTAGATTATACGTATTATGTAATTTCATGTAAAAATCAAAATTTTTTGAGTTATAAAATAATTTGCAATAGAATATTTAAAGATTTTAATGCATAAATTTTTTTGTACACCCAAAAAATAAATAAAAAAAGTTGACGTTTTTACACAAAAATCACCAGTCACGTGGCGTAAGGCGCGATGCATGGGTTGCGCCTTTCTGCAAAGGTTGTTAGATCAGGAAATATATCTGAAAGGGTGTCTGACAGGTAAATATATAACGAAAGGTGATTTTTGGGGAAAATTGCTGAAATATTAATTCTAGATAGAAGGATGTGAATGTTATTTAATTCTTAAAATATATGGACAAAAATTATAAAATTTTTAAATGAGAAAAAAATTCTAAGAAAACTGTATACGTGGAATCAATTATTACTCTAATATGTATATTTGTCTAAAATTATGGAACGCAAAATGATATATTTGGTGGGGCATAATAAAAAAAAGGGTAAAGTATAGTAATGGTCACTGAACTTTTCTAAAGCTTTCATTTAGGTCCCCCAACTTTTAAAACTTGCAATACAGTCCTCCAACATTTAGTCTATTTGATATATGGTCCCTGATGTTACACTACTATTAGTACGTTTGCAATATGGTCACTGA